GGGTTGTTAACCAATGTCATAAAACAGCATGTGTGTTACTGTTACATGAGAAACTATCTGTTCTGTAAGCCTTCACCTGAAGTACAATAAAATATTAAAAAAAAAAGAATGTTTTGCTAAAATAATTTTTGTAAGTGAATGATATTAAAAATTTTTTAAGCGTTAAAAAAAAATACAGAATATGGACAAAATAAGTAAAATGATGAGGAATTTCACGAGTGATTAAGAATCTATAACAAAGAATTAAATAGAAATTCTTGAATAGAAAACCATAACACTGAAATTAAAAACTCTATAGACATTTAATAGCAGGTCAGACAAAACAAAAGACAGAATTAGTGAACTGGAATGTCTAAACCAAAGCATAGGAAGAAAAAATAGAAAAGAAAAACCCAGAAAAGAACATTAGAGACACATGGAATTTAGTTAAAAAATCAAACATGTGTCTAATTAGAGTCCTACAAGGAAAGGGACAGAGAATGAGGTAGATGCAATATTTGTAAAGATGATAGCCAAGAAGTTCCGAAAATGGATGAAACCCATCAACCCACATATTCAAGAAGCTCTGTGCATACCAAGCAGAACAAATACATAGAAAACCACACCTACATATCACAGTAAGACTGGTGAAAACCAAAGACAAAGAGAAATCTTAAAAGCAGCCAGTGAAAAAACACAACCTTTTGAAGGCGCAACGAAAAGATTCACAGCTGACTCTTCGACAGAGATGATGGAAGTAAGAAGACAGTGGAATGCCATTTAAAGTATTAAACGAAAATAAATGTCAATTCAGAATTAGAATTCTACACTAGCAAAACAGTCTTCAAAATTGAAAGTGAAGTAAAAATGCTTTCAGACAAACAAAACTGAGAATTTATTTCTAACAAATACGCACTAAAAGAAATACTAAAGAGAGTTCTTCAAGCATAAGGAAAATGATCCCAGAGGGAAACATGAAATTGTAGAAAGTAATGGAGAGCAACAGAAAAGGTAAATATATGGGTAAATATAAATGAATACTGACTCAGAAGAATGAAAATGTAATATCTTGTGGGGTTTAAAATGTTTGTAGAATTAAAATACATGCAACAAAAATGCAAAAGGCTGAAGGGGAGTAAATGCAACGAGTGTGTTTTAAGAGTCTACTATTATCAGGAAAGTACTAAAGGTAATAATTTGCAGTATTCTGTAATAAGTCAAGGATGCATGTTGACATCTCTAGGGTAGTCAGTAACAGAATAATAAAAAAATATTTTATTAATCTAAAAGAAGGCACTAGAACTAATTCTATAGGGGCTCTGGTAGTCACCACTTCTGTGAAACTCTGGGGGGATGGGAAGAGTAAGAAAGGCTTTTTTTACCCAGGTCAGGGGACTTGTCTGAGCAGCTGGACATATAGGCAGACCCTTCTACTGTCAGCCCCTACCAGCTTCCCAAGTACCAAAGCCAAGTACCTTTCCCCAGGGTATCTCCATTCATTCATTCAGTCATTCCTTAGACAAATTCCTACTAAAGGATGCCTGGCACTGTGCTAGGGGCTAGGCCTATATTTATGAACTAGGCACAATTCTAGTCCAATGAACTCACATTCTGTTTAGATAAATATTAAAACAAACTTTTCTCAAACTTTCTAGATGTACAAATGAATCACCTGGAGATACTGTGGGGCTAGGAAAGGGCCTGAGATTCTGCATTTCTAACAAGCCCCTGAGTGATGCTGTTACTGCTGATTTGAGGACTTCACTTTGAGTTACAAGAAGCAACTAAAATACAGAGTGACAAGTGCTATGATGAAATTGTAGCTCAGAGAAGTGAAATAACTCGCCAAAACTCCCACCACTAGTAAAGCGGAGTAACTGGGATCTGACCCCAGGTATATCTAACTCCCAAGCCTGTGTATGCTTTTTCCTGCCTCCCCTTGGGAGAAGGAAGGGGACTATGAGGCAAAAAAAGGTAGAGTGGCCATTTAATCCAGCCTCAGGAAAAAGTTGCTTAAGCTGGATCCTAATGGATGAACAGGGGTTTGCCTGGCAAAGAAGTGGTGCTGGGAGAAAGGCGTGAGGGCTCTGGATTTCAAAGCCTGGATCTGAATACCATTCCACCACTACGAGCTTTATAATTCTGGACAACTCACTTAAACATGCTGTGCCTCAGTTTCCTCAACTGTAAAATGGAGTTAATTATAATAGCACCTACCTCACTGGGTTGATGTGAGAATTAAACGAGACACATAGTAAGTTAATAATGGAAGGATAGAAGGTATTTCAGGGAGAATGATGCCTCCTGTGCCTAGGACTAGCCTGTCAGGGTAGAGGACTGGGAAGGCATTGGAGTTATTGCCCAGCAGGGTCTGCTGTCCTTTCCTGGAGGGAGGGTGTCCAGTTGTATTCCTGGACACACCATTCCAAGGAGTGGATGACAACCAAAGTACCCACCAGCCCCAAACACCCTCATATCTGTTAGCTTATCTCCTCCTAACGACTCCAGAGGGGTAACAGGAATCATTGTCCTCATTTTACAAGTAGGGAAACAGGCCCAGGGAAGCTGACTTGTCTACTGTCTTCCTGGGTATTAGAGGCAGAGGACTCCTTACTTTCTGGCCAGTATTCTTTCCAGAAAGCACTCTAATAACATCTCAGGAGAAAATCAATACTCAAGCACTTCAGGGCAAGAGGTCTAGGATTTCCCACCTCCCTCAAAGCTGTCATGTTCACTAATCATTAGCACTGATCAAGAAAAGGGGCCATTCGATGGTCAGAGTGACAGCAAGGATGTATCTGGCTCTGCCCCATATTTGGGAAGAAAGATTTCCTAAGGAAAAGATTGAGGGGAAGTAGATCTGAGGTTTATGAGTCAGAAGCACCTGGAAACCAATTCATACTCCAATGCAGCTCCTTCCTGGTACACAGAAGGGCAGGCACACACCGGGGTTCGGCAGAATCTCCTACCTAGTAGACTGCTTGGCCAGCATGGCCACGTAGGTGACCACGAAGCTCTGAAACTTGGCCCGCTGCTCCTCCCAGCGGTCATCCACTGAGTAGTAGTTGGGCAGGGGTGCTCCAAACAGGATCTCACTACGCAGAAGGGAGCTCTTGAGGTTGTCTGCTGAAAGGCCCTCATCCACATACCAGTAGAACTCGGGGTGAGTCATGGCCAGCTCTAGGGAGCCTGCAGGGGCAGGGGTGGGGGCCCAAGGAGCTCAGCAGGAGCTCCCACCAACCCTCCCTCAAGGTCGCCCTGCCTTCCTCCCCACCTCACCTGGAGCCTCAAGCCCCTAAGGAGCTAGGAAACTCCCTTCCTCATTGAGGACTGCCTCGACCCTAGTGGGGCAGACGGATGGCTTAGAAAATCAACCACAGCTACCCAAGAGGAGTGACCCTTAGACCTGCTCGGGTAGCTCCCACTAAGTTCACATTTTCATTCCATTTTCAACTTCACATAATTCCAAGGCTCAGTCTCTGCACAGTCCCTATAATTCCACCTCCTTATTCCAGTCTGCAGCACTGGTGGTGTAGTTGTTAAGAGCTTGGCTGCTAACCAGAAGGTCAGCAATTCGAATCCACCAGCCGCTCCTTGAAAACCCTATGGGGCAGTTCCACTCTGTCCTATAGGGTCACTATGAGTTGGAATCGACTCGACAGCAATCGGTTTATTCCAGTCCAGCCTCCTTTCGCCTAGAACTAGGTCCATGTCCTCCCTTAAAAGGCTCATCCAAGCCCCGCCCCTAACCCCTACAACCACCCTCTGACTCACCCCACCCTTCCTCAAGTTCCACCCCTAATCTACCTCAAACTAACCCCACCCTGGTCTTCCTTCAACTCCAGCCTCTCCCCTCTCTTCCTCTGATCACATTCTCCATTCTCTATAACCACATCCCCAATCTCTTCCTAACCAACCTGACGCCCAAGCATTATCCCATACTTCTCTAACTCTGGCAACAGTGTAACTCCCAACCTCCTTCCACCAGGTCTGCCCCCATGCCTCACACCCAAGCCCTGGCCCACACTCCCTCCTAGCCCAGCGCTTCTTAATCTCGACCACAGGCCATGTACAGCACTGGCTCCAGCCTGACTTCGCCTCACTGCCAAGTCCCACCTCATCCTCCTTCAGCCAAGAATCCACCTCCAAGTCTCTTCCTAGTCTGCAAGGGCTAAACCAAGACCCAAGCCTTCTCTCAGACCCCGCCCAAGCCCCACCCCCAGCCTCCTTCACACCCCGCCCCTTACAAGCCCCACCTCCAGCCCCTTCAGACCCCGCCCCTTACAAGCCCCGCTCCCAGCCCCTCACACACTACCCTGTCCAAGCCCTGTCCCGTGGCACAGCCAGATCTCACCCCGGATGTCGGCCAGGTCCTGGCCCATGCCATCATAGTATATCTTGCCACCTCTCTCAGTGGGAAAAAAGTAGGTCATGAGTGAGCTGGGCGGGGAGCAGTAGGAGTAGGAGCCGAGTGGCAGGTCCTTAAGGACCTCGTGAGGCTTCCAGCAGAACTCCCGGAAGCCCGGGTGGTCCATGATCTTGCGCTCAATCTCGTGGATCGTGACCAACCTCTCACTGGTGAAAATGTTGCGCTCGGCGTCGCCACGCGCCAGGAAGATGAGCTCGATGCGCCAGTGCGCATGAGTCTGGGTGTTGGCGCTCACATAAGTGCGCGAGTAGTCCCAACGCGAGGCGCCCCGGCGAGCTCGGCTTTGATTGGCTGCGGCCGCCGCGGGGGGCGGGGCGCTGGGCTGGAGCCGCCCATTGTGGTCGGTCCTTGGGTTCGGCGAGGATTCACTCTGGTTGGCCGCTAGATCCACCGGAGGCGGGGTCTCACGCCGAAGACGCCCGCTCCTATTGGCTGCTGGCTTTTGGGCCGCAGAGATGTCCCACGAGAAGCCTGGGCCACCGACTACGACGGTGTGCGGGGCCCTGGCGGCGGGCCGGGAGCGATTGCCTAGATGCAGCTGCTGCAGCTGCTCTGAGATGAGGCGCTGAAGCGTCTCAGAGGTGAAGTCAGCCAAGTCGCGCCGGTTGCGACCCCAGGACCCAAACTGGGACTTGAGTGCCAGGGCGAGGGCATCAAAACGCTGAGAAGCCTCGTGGTTGCGAATCTCGAAGGCATTGTAGGAGATGTCAATGTCCAGTGGCGGGTAGTAGAGGAACATGAAGGCAGAGAGGGCCACGGGGATGCTGCAGCCCAGGAAGAGCACCAGCCCTGCACAGTACGGATTGGTGAAGGCCCACCCCAGGGTACTCCAGAAGCCTGAGGCTGGGGGCCGGGAGGGCCAGGTCCAGCCCCGCCAGCAACACTGCCTGCCTGCCCCACGGTGGGGCCTTGGCTTTTGGGCACCACTAAGGGCCTCGCCTGTCGCTTCCTCCTCCTCCTGCTCCTCCTCTAACCACGCATCCTGCAGCAAGGGATCATCTTCTGAGTCCATGGCCTACAGGAGAGGGAGAGTGTCAGTGGGCTAGAGAGAGGGAGGGGATGTGCCCTGTGGCAGCATTCACCCAGCCCACTCATAACCGAATACTAATACTGCAACAGATTTGCATCGAGCTGGCTTTTAAGTCAACGGAATTCAATGATCTGTGCACAAAACAAAGAAAAATCCTGTTATTTTCCCATTACTTCCCCCAACAAGATCTTAGCTTTCAAAGCCAGGAGGCGTGGGAGGGGGTGGGGTAATCATAGCCCAACTGCAAACAGAAAAGATGTTCCTCCCACGTAAGGGATATTCGAGGGGAATTTTGACTACACAGGATTTCCCAATTTTTGTTGCATTCTTTGTCTTTAGAACCTAAGGTCTAAGTAAGATGTAACTGCATTGCAACAACTTTTTTTTTTTTTTGCCATTCAAACCATTTTTATGTGTACATTTCAGAGCACAGCTGCTAACCAACAGGTCGGCAGTTCGAATCCACCAGCTGCTCCTTGGAAACCCTATGGGGGGTGGGGGGCAGTTCTACTCTGTCCTATAGGGTCACTATGAGTCGGTATCGACTTGATGGCAATGGGTTTTTTTGTTTGTTTTTTAATGTTGTGCAGCCATTACCACTATGTTTCCAAATCTTTTTCATCATCCTTAACAGAAACTCAGTACCCCTTAGGCAATAATAACTCCCCCTTGCAACCACTTTTCTTTAACGAGCAACTGTAAAGTACTTTCAGGAAGTATCAGGGCAGAGGGGAAAGAACATACCTGTGGAATCAGACAGACCCTGGTTTGGGTCCTGACAGTGTGATTACTGGCAAGGCAGTGGTCCTCTCTGAACCTCAGAGTCCTTGTCTGTGAAGTGGAGGTAGCCATTCCTGCCTCATATGATTGTGGGGGAGGATCAAAGGTGGAAGAACTTTGCAGTCTGTGTGGTACATTAGTTATTATCTGTCACAGAAGCAGATTTCTTTGCTCCCGTCTTTAATGTGCTCAGCCACTGCCTATGGGGCTGTGCCGGGGCTAGCTGCCTGCCATAGGTCTCCTCGACAGCCTTCCATAGCTCCCCACCCCCTCTCTGGGTTGCGGCAGCTGCAGCCACTGTTTGTTAGGCACTGGCCACTTGATATGCAGCTCCAGTGACATCAAACCTTTGGGTCCGGGCAGGGGCCAGGCATCTGCCTCCTCAAGCTTTGGGGACAAGCAGCAGGAGGCTTTGGCAGGAGAGGACAGCACTGGGCAGCCCGAGGACTCCAGCAGGGTGGCCTGAAGGCAGGAGACAAGGAGAACGGCCTATACATTCTGGGTATGGCTTGCCCCACTGTCCTGCCTGCCCTCTGTTTGGACCAAGAGAGACTCATTATCCAGTTAGATACCAGGCAGTGAGAGGAGAAAGCTAATTATGCCAGAGCTGACTAATTAATGCTGCCTTTCCCATTGAAATTCTCTAGAGTACTCCATTTCAATTACACGGTCTGTCCAGGAATGGGGAGTGGGGGGTGCTGCCACCACCCCAGAGAAAGTGAGGAAGAGAGGGAGAGGGGCAAAAGGGAAACAGAGAGACAGAGACATATGGGAAGAGGAGAGATACAGGACAGTGGAATGGGGGGCGGAGGGGGGAGACAGAGATGCAAATAGGGAAAAGAAGGAAGAGAGGACAGAGTGAGCGAGGGGGACACCAAGCGAGGGGGGGTGTGGGAAAGGAGGGGTGCCCCCTGCAGACTGTTTTGGAAGAGAGAGGGTGGAAGAGGGGAAAACCGCTCCTGTAATATGCAAGATTCCTATCAGTGGAATAATTAAACTTCCCATTTGCGATGCCCTAAAGCGAGCCTGCTGAGGGACGCTAACTGTTCTGAGGTCCCCTTTGTATTCGCAGAAACCCCTGAGTGTGAACCACAGGCATCTCAGACTCACCCCTTTTCCAAAGGGCAAAACCAAGTCTGCATATGGAGGTGGGGCATTTGGGGGCCTCTGCTCATTCCCAGCCTCCGAAAGAGGTAAAAGGGTGGAGAGAAGCAGGGGCTACTTTGGCACTTTTTCTGGGAACTAAGTCCATCGGCCCCACCCCCAGCCTCAGCCTGCCCGTGAAGATGTAGGACATTCATTCTTTCCCCTTTTATTTGGGTGAGCTATGACTACGGCAGAAGTAATGCTATGTGACTTCTGAGGCAAGATAATAAAGGGAGATGCAGCTTACCTGGCTGTCTTGGGACATTTGCTTTTGGAACCCAGCTGCCATGCTATGAGGAAGCCGAAACTAGCCCATGCAGAGACATCACAGGTAGGAGCGCCTGCTGACAATCCTGCTAGTAGCCAGCATCCACCACCGAATATGTGAGTGAAGATGCCTTCCGATGATTCTAGTTCCCCAAGCATGGAATAACCCCTGTCTTCCAGTTCTTCCAGCTAAAGCCCAGGGGCCATAGAGTAGACAGAAGCTGTCCTCTCTGTGCCCTGTCTAAATTCCTGATCCACGGAATCCATGAGCATAATTAATGGTTGTAATAAATCACTACATTTTGGGATGGTTTGTTATATAGCAATATTATCTAGAACAATTGCAATGGAGTCCTGTTCCATATGTGTGACTCAGTGCTCTGCAGACAGCATCTACGGAATTTAAGTGACCAGAAAATTGAGCACAGCCACTTGGCCTCCAGTGAGAGCCCCGCAGCTGCGTGGACATGAGCTCCAAGGGAGCAGGCACTTGGCTGTCATGTTCCCTGCTGGGTTCCCGTAGCGTAAACTACTCCTGGATGGGGTCAGTCCTCAGCAGATAATTTGTTGAATAAAGGGAGGAAGAGAAATCTCGGAAGAATTTAGATGGAACTTCTCCCAGGACATTGAGGACAGTCAGATACCAAATAAAATAAGTACATGGCTGAGAGTATGGATCTTCTGCCGGGACTGGAAGGGTCTTCAAGAGCATGAAATGGACAAGGCAGGAAGTGGACTTGATGAGCTCTTTGTCCTCTCCCCACCCCCATGCCTGCCTTCCCAGTTCACCCCGAAAAGAAAGGCTGCCACAGGGGAAATCACACTAGACTGTGGCTCCAGGCCTGGCTCAGTCACTGACTTTCTGTGTGGCCTTGGGCAAGTCCCATCCCCTCCTGGGGCCCTGTCTCCCCATCTGGCAGTGGGATGGTAAAAGCGCGGGTACCTCTAGCTGTGACACCCCCGGAGTCTCTGAGAAGCCCCAGACACCCAGGCATTCTTGCCTTCTGGTCTGCAGCCAAGGAGGGTGGGGTGCAACCTGAGAGTCCCCCACCAAATTGAGGGAGGCCTAGCTGGTGGGTGGGGGTCTGATACCAGATGCCTTACCGGCAGCCACCTCTGCAGGCCTCTCGCTAGCAGGCTGGATGGGCAGCAGATTGAACATTGTTTTCCTTTCTCAAACAACGGGAATTGATTAGCTTACAGAGAAGCTCCTGCTGCTCGGTGGAAAGGAGCTAAAGGTGGCTCCTGCGGCACCTGTCACTAACTCAGGCAGAGAATCAAAGTAGGACCATGATCACGAGGGACGGTGATCACTTCCCATTAGGGTGCGCCCTTAGAATGTTCTCCCTCTAGTGACCAAGTCCCCATAACACACTCTCTCTCTCTCTCTCTCTCTCTCACACACACACACACACACCCTAGTCAAAATGTAAACACATGGGATCCATAAACTAAGGCAGACACTGATCCGCGGAACAAGGTCCCCCTCTTCTTGGGAAAGGCAACTGGGGCAGCTGCTAAAAGGGCACAGCAGACCCTAAGGAGCCTTGAAAGGAAGGATCTTACTCATTTTTAAGACCTAGGCTTGGGGCAACCCAAAGCCACATTTGTGGCATGATCCCAATTTTATAACAGAAAAAAAAAAAAACTGCTTATATATGCATTTTTGAAATACTGCCACCTGTATTTCAAATACCAGCAGGGTCACCCATGATGGACAGGTTTCAGTGGAGCTTCCAGACTAAGACAGACTGGGAAGAAGGACCTGGTGAGCTACTTCTGAAAAAACTGGCCAGGGAAAACCTTATGGATAGCAGCACAACATTGTCTGATATAGTGCCAGAAGGTGAGCCCCTCAGGTTGGAAGACCCTCAAAATATGACTGGGGAAGATCTGCCTCCCATAGTAGAGTCAGCCTTAATGATATGGATGGAGTAAAGCTTTCAGGACCTTCATTTGCTGATGTCGCATGACTCAAAATGAGAAGAAACAGCTGCAAACACCCATTAATAATCAGAATATGGAATTATGAAGTATGAATCAAAGAAAATTGGAAGTTGTCAAAAATGAAATGGAATGCTTGAAAATCGATATCCTAGGCACTAGTGAGCTGAAGTGGACTGGCATTGGCCATTTTGAATCAGACAGTGATAAGGTCTACTATACCGGGAATGACAAACGGAAGAGGAATGGCATCCCATTCATCGAAAAAAGAACATTTCAAGATCTCTCCTGAAATAAAATGCTGTCAGTGATGGGATAATATCCCTATGCCTACAAGGAAGACTAGTTAATATGACTATTATTCAAATTTATGCACCAACCACTAATGCCAAAGATGAAGATAATGAACATTTTTACCAACTTCTTGAGTCTGAAATGGATCAAACATGCCATCAAAATGCATCGATAATTACTGATGAATGGAATGTGAAAGTTGGAAACAAAGAAGAAGGATTGGTAGTTGGAAATACGGTCTTGGTGATAGAAACGACACTGGAGAAGCTGGACTATGTGAACACAGCATCAGGATTGGAGGAAGACTCATTAACAACTTTCAATATGCAGATGACACAGCCTTGCTTGCTGAAAGAGAAGAGGACTTGAAGCACTTACTGATGAAGATCAAAGCCTTCAGTATGGATTACACCTCAACATAAATAGAACAAAAATCCTCACAACTGGACCAATAAGCTACATCATGATATTGTTGTTGTTAGGTGCTGCTAAGTGGGTTCCAACTCACAAGCAACCCTTTGTATAACAGAATGAAAGACTACCCGGTCCTG